GGACATCGGAATGGTATTTTTCCGGAGTACCGGGAGGTTACCGGACCCCCCCTGGGGAGTTATTGGGCCTTAATGGGCTTTAGGGGAAAGGAGAGAAGGGCCACAAGGGGTGGCCACGCGCCCCTCGTGGGCTGGTCCGAATTGGACTAGGAGGGGGCGGCACCCCCTCTCCTTCCTTCTCCCTTCTTTCCCCTTCCTCCTTCTCCTAGATGGAATAGGAAAGGGGGGGCGAATCCTACTTGGACCGGGAGTCCAAGTAGGACTCCCCCCCCTTGGCGCGCCCCCTCTAGGGCCGGCCTCCTTCTCCTCCCTCCTTTATATACGGGGGCAGGGGGGCACCCTAGAACACACCAAGTCTTCTCTTAGCCGTGTGCGGTGCCCCCTCCACAGTTACACACCTCGGCCATATCGACATAGTGCTTAGGCAAAGCCCTGCACCGGTAACATCATCATCACCATCGCCACGCCGTCATGCTGACTAAACTCACCCTCGTCCTCAACTGGATCAAGAGCACGAGGGACTTCATTGAGTTGAACGTGTGCTGAACATGGAGGTGTCGTACGTTCGGTACTTGGATCCGTTGGATCACGAAGAAGTTCGACTACATCAATCGCGAAGAAGTACGAGGGTATGTGTACACACTCTTCCCCTCTCATTGCTATGCATCTCCTAGATAGATATTGCGTGATCGTAGGATTTTTTTTGAAATTGCATGCTATGTCCCCAATAGCTCCAACGTTGTCCTTTATAGAGCAGCAACACCTTGTTTTAGAAACACCTTCCTTTACTGTTACATTGCCTAATGGGAGTGTCATACTCCTGGGATAACCTTATCCTTCCCAAATAAATCTCTCAGATCCTGTAACAACCTTGCTCATTCAGCCATCTCCTGAGTGTCATTGTCCTACTGGTATCATTCATTTTTAACTGCCTTCTTCCATTCATTGCACAGTTGAAATAGGCCAGGAAAAATAAACTATAGAGGCTTATTACTTCATCATTTATCACCCCAAAAATCCCATTACCAACTTTCATTTTTCTCCCCTTAAGGCACAGATCTTTGATTTTTATTAGATCAGCCCAACATGGTGAGTCATTCATTGTACCATGTATTTTATAAATCCCTCTATCAATCTTATATTTTTCCCTCACTAATTTTTGCCACATCCCTTCTCTGGATCATGGGTCCACCACCATTTGCATAACAGACTAACATTAAACTTCTCTAGATTATGAATTTCCAGACCTCCTGTCTTCTTGGGTCTACACACCACCAGCCATCTTACACTATGATATTTTATCTTCTTACTAGAGCCTTGCCATAAAAGTCGCCTCATAGCCTTTTCCATGCCCCCTATATTTGTTTTTTTGGAAATATGTACATGGAGAAATACCACACATGCATTATTTTTATTCTTATTACCCTACCCCCAATGGATAAAGTACCAGTTTCTCATCCTTCCAATCTTTTATACATGCCAAAATTTATAATTAGCATGCAGCTGGCGAAGAACCCATTTGACAGTTAAAAATATCAATATACATCAGGCTTTTCTCATCATACAACACCATCTACACTTCACTTTCCAGGAATTTTTAATGAAGACATTTGCTCAAACATATAGAGAAGCAGTTTTATGTTTTGCACAATGTTCAAGTCATCATGTATGAACATGATTATATCATCAACATACTGAAGAATAGCCACCCCTCTTTCCGTCAGGTGAGGGATCAACCCATTGATTTGTCCAGTGCTTTGACCTAGATGCACCATTTTTTACAGACAATTGGCAGCCACATTAAACAGGAAGGGAGACAAAGGACCCCCCCCCCCCGGTTTAACACCTTTATGGCTGCCAAAAGTTCTCCCAGCCACATCACTCAACTTGACATTGAGAGTTCCTCCCTCAACAATGTTCTTAAACTAGCCCATCCAAGTGTCATTGAACCATTTTTCCTCAATGTAATGAAAGAGAAACTCCTAGTTAACCTTATCATATGCTTTTTCAAAATACAATTTTAGGACCACCCTTTTGTTGTTTCCTTCTTCTAGACTCGTGGAGAATTTCATGCAAAGACATAACACCAACCATGATATTTCTTCCTTTAATGAAAGCAATCTGACATGTTGAAATGAGTTTGTGCATATAAGGCTCACATTTTCATTAAGGGTTCTGGAAAAGCTTTTTAGCAGAATAGACAACATACAAATTGTTCTATATTTTTTGAATAGTATCTGCATTAGCTCCCTTTGGTACCAGAGTAATGATTCCAAAGTTAATCATGCTCAAATCGAACCTACCAACATGGACCTCATAAAGTAGACATCATGACTGTTGAAAATATGCCCTAGAGGCAATAATATTGTATTATTATATTTCCATATTCATAATTAAGTGTTCATATTTCATGCTATAACTGTTATATCTTGAATAAGAAATTCAGTGGAAAACTCATATGCACGTGAAAAATGATAAACAGATAAAATAAAAGTTTCTAGTCTCGCCTCTAAGACTAGCTCAAGTGTTGTTGGTGATCATGTTTTTCGGATCTTAGGATATCGTTAAGTGTAACGATAGTCCTAAAAAACATTGAGATTATGACGTTTGAAGAACAATCATATTGAATCGACCGAAACTTGTTTGTTATGAATTGAGACTATATCGTCTGTAATCAATTATAATAACACAGAGTGTTAACTTGTGATTTTTCTCCTTAGACCATGAGAGTATCGTAGTCACTTCTTACCATACAGTGGGCTTTGGGGTTGCTCAAATGTCACTTGTAACACAGTGACCATAACGACAACTTACATGTTCACCAAAAAGTTTGACAAGGGACTAGATAGCTCGAGAGTGGGATTTGCTCCTCCGAGGATGGAGAGATATTCTTAGGTCCCTCTCAGTGTGATGGCATCCATCATCGTCTGTCCAAACACATGTGACTACGTCACGCAGATGCCGGAACACAATAACGAGAAAGAAGAACAAAACCGGTAACGAGGATTTCGGTATAGTGAGCATATATAGTGATGACTCAGGAGGATAACGATGCATCCCAGCTTTTGTGAAATATCCCGAAGCACAGGGAATATCACATGATAACCATAAGTTCACTCGAGTATCATTCTTGTGCTCATAGGGATCGATATGGACGTCCACGGTCTCGTTGTCGGTCATTGAACGAACAGTTTCGTTCATGTCTATGAGTTACCGAACCTACGGGGTCACAAGCTTAAGGAAATCACGATATGTTGAGTGTTAGTAGGATGGGAGTGATGAGAATATATTCGTGGAATTGTTTCATTAATATTAAGAATAGTTCCGAGAGGATCCGAAAGCGTTTCGGGGTAACCGGAAGGGTTTTAGTGAATATCGGGTAATACCAGATATTTTTGATAAATATATATAGGTGAAAAATGTTTCCCAACAATGACGTCATCCTTAAGAATGCCCCAACATGTTTGATTGAATTATACAGGGAAGCCATCATAACCTGCAACTCATCCTATTAATCACTTTCTCGATTTCTTCTTGGTTTACTTAACTCTCTCATTTTCTTCCCACGCATCACTTCTCATTCCATAAGTCAAACCTTCAACAAGGCCAATTTTTTTTTGTAATGGTCGGTTGCATATTCTACCAAATCAGCAGTGCGGGGAGCACTCCCACATCCCGCATCTCACCCCCATCCGCTGCAATCCTGCAACCTTTTCTCCTCGTTACTTTTGTACAAATGTTGAAACCTGAGACGCAAAGAGTCGACTTAGCGATGAATATCTGTAAGTGGGTCCAACTTCCCTACACAATTGGACCACCCACTTACAGTCGGGCCTCAAAGTACCCGCATCCAATGCACCACAAGACTCTTTCTAGGGAGCTTGGTAGTCGTAGTGACTATAGCCGATACGGTGAGCCCATGTCTGACTTAGATCATATACGCGGTGACAGCTTGCTCCACGCTCCACGGTGGTGAATATCATTCCCTGCGTAGGCCGACAACTGTCGCCCCCGCCCCTAGCCTCCCGGCGTGCGCGAGGCAATGGGTCGGCCCACTTGGTTTTTGTGTGGTGCTTTCCCCATTGGTTTTGGGAACCTCCACTTGACTAGTTTTTTCCTTTTTGTGTTTTCTATTGCTTGTTTATCATTTTTTTTATTTTTCCCCATTTTTTCTAAATTCGTGGTATCTTTCAAAAATTGCCATTTTTTTAAAAATTTTGGGAACTTATTCGAAAATTAATAAATATGCAAGCAGTTTTTAATTCATCAACATTTTTAAACATTGTGACCATATTTTTCAAATTCATGGGATTTTTTTTGTAAAATGCGCAAGCACCTTTACTGATAATTTTAAAATTTATAATTTTTTTTGAAATTCATGTTTTTTGAAATTCATGATTATTTAAAAAGTCACCAACATCTTTTCAATTTGTAAACATTTTTTTTAATTTCATAAACTTCTTTTAAATCATGAACTTTTTCTAAATTCATTCACAAATAAAATTAAAATATGTGAGAAATCCAGCTAGAAAAAGAAAAGGAAAGGGGGCGGTCGCCGTGGAGGCGTGGCTGCTTCACTGCTCTGCTTGGACTATGCAGCAGCGCATCACCCACGGAGCGCCCGAGCGCCGAACGGCGAACGCGACGTCGCGTACTCTTGTCCATGGCGCGGTCTGGCCGGCCATCACCTGGCGCCATCCAGCAGTGTGACGTACGTGAATGCGTGGCCGTGGCCGATTTTCTTCTTCGCGAGTACGTCAGTGAGCGAACTCTGGACTCTGTAGGATATGGTGTAAAGTGTGAAACTGCCCGTTGCACAGTTGCCACGGCACACCGTACCGAGAGACCCCGCCGCCACGGCGCGGCGTCTCCCTCTCTTCCCTCCGCCCCTCGAATCCCCTCGGACACTGCCACCACCGCACCCACTATTTATACCACCACCGCCGCGCCGTACTGCCTAAACACACTGCTACGGCACCACCTCGACCTCGACTCCAGCCATGGCCACCGCCGCCGGCCGGCTGCTCCCCTTGCTCCTGCTGCTGCATGCGTTGCTCGTCGTCGCCGCGGCTGCAGTCTCCGGTGTGACGTACGACCACCGCTCCCTCATCATCTCGGGCCGCCGGCGCCTTCTCATCTCCACCTCCATCCACTACCCGCGCAGCGTGCCCGCGGTACGCCCCTGCCATCCCAGCTCACGCACTAGCATTGGCACTGTGGCGGCAGTAACAGTAACTTCGATTGTTCGCAGATGTGGCCCAAGCTGGTGGCGGAGGCCAAGGACGGCGGCGCCGACTGCATCGAGACCTACGTCTTCTGGAACGGCCACGAGACCGCCCCCGGCAAGGTCCGCTCGCCGCGCCCGAGCGTCTTCAAATTTTCGTGCTGCATTTAGTCCGTTCGTGTTTTTTTTTATGTGGGATTGCTGAATGGATTGTAGTACTACTTCGAGGACCGGTTCGATCTGGTGCAGTTCGCGAGGGTCGTCAAGGACGCCGGGCTCTTCCTGATTCTGCGCATCGGCCCCTTCGTCGCCGGCGAGTGGAACTTCGGGTCCGATTCTTTCCCTTACATATTTACTGTCATTTTGTTTCTCTGGTGTACCTGTCAACCTTTTTTGGAGGATTTTAGGGGCTTGCCGGTGTGGCTGCATTACATTCCGGGGACGGTGTTCCGGACGAACAACGAGCCATTCAAGGTGACTGTGGCTTGTGAATTCTGCAATGTTTTGTGGTAACTTCGCCGGTTTGGGCGAAGAACTGATAAACCTAGCGAAATTTTTCTCTCTTATGGATGCAGTCTCACATGAAGAGCTTCACGACGAAAATCGTGGACATGATGAAGAAGGAGCGGTTCTTCGCCTCCCAGGGCGGGCACATCATCCTAGCTCAGGTCACGATTCAATCAGCTTTGCAATACATGCTCCTCACAATTGCACAGGATGAGGCTGGACTTGTGCGTTGCAGATTGAAAATGAGTATGAAGGTACCGAACAAGCATACGGGGCTGGCGGCAAGGCATACGCAGCGTGGGCGGCTAGTATGGCTCTGGCTCAGAACACGGGCGTCCCTTGGATCATGTGCCAGCAGTCCGACGCCCCTGATCATGTGGTTAGTTTCTGGCGTTTAGTGCCTCCTGTCGTATGCACCGGCAGCATTACCATCACCCAAACTGCAACTGTTAATTATGATAGGGAAAAGCCAAAAACTAAACAGCATATCGTTGGTAGTTGTAACTTACTAGTCACATAAAACTTTTTTTGCGACTCTGTGACATACAACTTCTGCTGCATGGTTATGTCTTGGTAATTTATTCAGTCATGGTTATGCTATCAGCATCATTTTGGCATCTATACATGCATGCGCTTGGTAGTTCAGACGTAGTACTATTTTTTGGTAGTTCAGTGCTAGATGTTTTTTGTCTGATATATTGATTTGATGCAAGTGACAATTTGCAGATAAACACCTGCAATTCATTCTATTGCGATCAATTCACGCCAAATTCGCCAACCAAGCCAAAAATTTGGACAGAGAATTGGCCAGGATGGTAACTGTTTACAGTTTAGAATCACTTCTGCTATTGTTAACACACCAAAAAAGAGGAAAATTATGTACTACATCACTTTTTATTTTCTCAAAAAGCAAAAGGAAATAAGCCCTTGCTTTTTTTATTTCCATTTCTATTTAGGTTCCAGAATTTTGGTGAAGCTAATCCCCACAGACCCCCTGAGGATGTCGCATTTTCTGTTGCGCGTTTCTTTGGAAAAGGTGGCACCGTTCAGAATTACTATGTGGTACCCCCTTGCGCACACTTCATGTTCTAACTTGGTTCTACAAAAACATGTTCTAACTTTACTCACATTTTAAGTTTCTAACGTTACAATGGATCACACATCTCATCTTCGAACTTGATAGAGACACTATTTTTTCCTGATAATTACTACCAAGCATCTGAAATCATATTCAGTTAGTAGCGGAAATGCTGATAATTTCATCCTAGTGAAAATTGACCAAATTTGCATTATCCTTTTTAAGTACCATGGTGGAACAAACTTTGGCCGCACTACTGGAGGGCCGTTCATTACTACTAGCTATGACTATGATGCACCAATTGATGAATATGGTTAGGCTATATTTTTCTTATCCATTCCTCGATAATCTTAGGCTTAGTACCATCTTGAAATTGTTCGTTGATCTGAATTCCAGGCCTTAGGAGGCTTCCAAAATGGGCACATCTGAGGGAGCTTCACAAATCCATAAAATTGTGTGAACATAGTCTGCTTTACGGTAACTCAACATCATTTTCTCTTGGGCCTCAACAAGAGGTAAGAATTTTGTTCTCTATTGGGTTATACGTGATATTTGTGTTCTAAAAATATTCTATCAAGCTAGTATGTCAAATATGTTCCTCTGATGACTGATGCCTCGTGAAATGAATAGTGTCAACTTTTGCTTGCAGGCCGATGTTTACACCGATCACTCGGGAGGATGTGTTGCATTCCTGTCTAACATTGACTCAGAAAAGGACAAAGTTGTCACTTTTAGGAAGAGAAAATATGATCTTCCCGCCTGGTCAGTTAGCATCCTACCTGACTGCAAGAGTGTGGTTTACAATACTGCGAAGGTATTTGATTTTCCTTTTGATAATTTTCAGAAGAAAAAAAACACATTTAGCCTTGTCAGTGAAATGGATAATATCCTTCTCATAAGATGAAACAAAAAGTTACATCGGATTTCAAAAGGATAAAAGTATAATGCCAACATAAGATTATTCAACGCCTAACTGAGAAACAGAATATCTAGCACGCCACCTTTTCTTACTTATAACTCCAGTTTGATGATTGATCATCTTTAGGTTCGATCTCAAACTTCGATAGTCGACATGGCTCCGGAAACTTTGCAATCATCGAAACCTGAGCAGTGGAGCATTTTCACGGAGAAAATTGGTATTTGGGATAAAAATGACTTCATACGAAATGGATTTGTGGACCATATTAATACGACAAAAGACTCTACTGACTACCTGTGGCACACAACAAGGTTGGTCTAATAATAGAACTATTTTATGTATCATGTATGCATTCATGCTTTGAATATGTTGGTAAGCCTGGTATCAACCAAAGATGAGAGGTCTTAGTATTATTTATTTATGTTTATTTCAACCATCCTATGCAATTAAGTGTTGTACTCTACTGATTTTTTATATTATTTTTTGCAGTTTTAAGGTAGACACAAGTTACCCGGCAAGTGGGAAGCATCCAATTCTTAATATCGACTCCAAAGGCCATGGTGTTCATGCTTTCCTGAATGATATGCTTGTAGGTCTGTTATGTTCTCTTTACTTTATGCTGAGAAACCATATATAGTACTCCCTCCGTCCGAAATTAACTGTCGCTGGAGTGGGTGTTTCCAGACGCATTGATACACTCATTTCAGCGACAGTTAAGTCCGGGCGGGGTTGTAATATCTTTGAGTGGACGTTTGATGGTATGTTTCTAAAGTTCTAATTCATCCTATATGGATCCTTAAGAAGTAAAGCAATTGTTTACATTAGCATCAACATCTTTGACTGGACGTTTGCTAGGATGTTTCTGAAGTTTTAATGATCCTATATGGATCCTTAAGAAGCAGAGCGCTTGTTTACATTAGCATGAACGTGACTTTTTTTGAAGGGTTGTTGAATCCTACATTGTCCAGCAGTGTGTCTCCCACCTTTACATACTGGTTTCTTACAATTTATAGCCTCTTCAATTTAAGTTGTCGTGTCATTGCACTTACGTTTTGTAGATGTCTTTCTCAGGTAGTGCATTTGGTAATGGCTCAAAATCAAGTTTCAGTGTGCAAATGCCCATCAACTTGAAGACTGGGAAGAATGAAATTGCACTATTGAGTATGACTGTTGGATTGCAAGTAAGTGTCTACTTTAATAAATGATTAAATTGTATCATACTAGTATGCATGATGTTATTTATATGCCCATGTTGTTTTATGTGCATACATATGTGATGTGTCACGTAGATATCCACAATTCTACACAATTTATATATGAAACTACTATCGGTTAGCTGAGGTCACTTGAAGTTAAAAGTGCTTATCTGTTTGGAACTGTGTACTTTCTAAGAATGCAGGAGCCCGTTATGAATGGGTAGGAGCAGGCCTTACAACTGTGAACATCTCTGGAATGGAAAATGGAACCATAGACTTATCTTCAAATAATTGGGCATACAAGGTATTCCCATCAAGATTCTTCATATGAAATTTCTAGTGAGAACTTAATATACAAGTACATGATGGAAGTTGTGGTACTTATGCCTTTGCTATTTCTGTATCCACCTATATGTTTCAATCCTGAGTTTTTATGTCTAGAATTTGAGATAATCGAGACAGGTGTTCATCTATGCTTCCTTCATGTATTTGTTTGTAGATTGGGTTGGAAGGCGAACGCTACAGTTTGTTCAAACCTGATCAAGGGAATAACCAAAGGTGGAGGCAACAATCTGAGCCACCAAAGGATCAACCTTTGACATGGTACAAGGTAATGTTCTACCATCTTTATTCTTGATAATTCCTTCATGTCCTACTATGTGTATACTAATCCAAAATACTACTACTAGGTAAATGTTGATGTTCCACAAGGAGATGATCCAATTGGGTTAGACATGCAGTCTATGGGGAAAGGTCTGGCGTGGTTGAATGGAAATGCCATAGGGAGGTACTGGCTTAGGACTAGTTCTTCTGATGATAGGTGCACTCCCAACTGCAACTATAGAGGGCAATTTTCCCCAAACAACTGCAGGACTGGATGTGGGAAGCCAACTCAACGATGGTAATGTGACGATATTTGGCACTGCTGAGCTCACATCCTAATTAAGCATGTTCTGCCATTATTCTCTTGTGTCTCATACTTCTCGTTTATCTATGGTCAGGTACCATGTCCCAAGGTCATGGTTTCACCCATCGGAGAACACCCTCGTGGTTTTTGAGGAGCAGGGTGGGGATCCAACAAAGATCACATTCTCAAGAAGAGTTGCAACAAGTGTTTGCTCCTTTGTATCGGAGAACTATCCTTCTATTGCTGACATGGAAACCTGGGATAAAAATATGTCAGACGACGGAGTTGCATCCGAAGCACAATTGTCTTGCCCCAAGGGCAAAATTATCTCTTCAGTTAACTTTGCGAGCTTCGGAGACCCTAGTGGAACTTGCAGATCCTACCAACAAGGAAGCTGCCACCACCCAGACTCTCTATCTGTTGTTAAGAAGGTAGCATTTTGCAGCTTCTTGATGTGAAAATGCACATGATTCTGAATTGCTAGTCTCAGGACTCGGGAACCATAAATCTAACTTTTTTAGGAGTGTGCATGAATTCAGTCTTCCAGTTCGATGACTGTCAGTCCTGCATTTACAGACCGCCGTGATGAAGCAACTAGGATTAGATTAGACATCTAGGAAGTTTTAATTTTCCATTTAGAAGCCACCATGCACATTTTTCTGCTTTTGAATAATGGGCACCACACATTCCTTATGAGTTGTTTGATAATTATATCTCGATTATCACTAATAATCATATCTAGATTTGATTGACCATAATTATTTCCTGAGTGGTCTTTTATTCTTTGCAGGCCTGTCTGAACAACAATGGTTGCACAATTTCACTAGCAGACAGGGGATTCGGAAAAGATTTATGCCCCGGAGTCATCAAAACACTTGCGATTGAAGTGGACTGCTCTTAGTGAGTTCTGCACAGCTAGAAGTTCCACCACTACAAATCCGCTCATCTGAATCAAATTCGAAAGCTTTAATACTGTTAAACAACAATGTGAAAGTGGAAGCTTACCAAGATCAAGGTTCAGATTTCTTGTGAGCATGATAATAAGTGTTTCGCTGATTGAGACAATGGTGATTCGCAGTGTCTGCTGGAAGTGTGGTAGCCATCTTTGAACACCATGCTACTTTGGCCCAAGAGTTGGCGAATGTGACCTTCGAATTCTTTCCTAAAGAAAATTATGTAGCTCGCCAGCTAGAAAAAAGGTGCCCGGACAATGTGGTCTCCAGTTAATCGACCTAGTTAATCGACCTCCTTCTTGTATCTTGTACTTATTGGTGGCTGTAAAGAACTCCTTGATGTGCTCGGAAGCACGTGTCCTTTGAAAAAATATTGTTTCCCAATCATTCAAACAATCCATAAAAAAACTCACACGCAAATGACTCAAGTTCGTTTTTAGATTTTAAGGCCTAGTAGGGCTATATATGAAAGTGCGTTATATCGACTAGAGGGGAGTGAGTAGGTGATTTTTACAAATTCGTCACTGAGGAATTTCTAGGTGAAGAAATTCCTAAGCAATGACACATTAGCAGCGGAATAAGTATTCAGGTATAAACAGAACAGAGTAACAGCATAGTCATCATGATGAAATGAAAATAAGCACAGAGTACAAATAGCGTGATAACAGGAAAAGTAGGCTGAAGACTAAGTGACTGAAGAATTAGGAATGAGGAATTAGAGAAAATCTTCAGTTAAAGTCTTCAAACAGTAATGATCAGGTTCATCAACACATGAATGAGAAAATGAAAGGGTTGAGAAAATAGAACCAGTTGGCTTGGTGAAGACAATGATTTGATAGACCAGTTCCAACTGCCGTGACAGGTGTATGTCTGGTTGGAGCGGCTGAGTATTTAAACTCGAGGACACACAGTTCTGGACAAACAGTCCCAGACACACAATCCTCACCGTATTCTCCTTGAGCTGAAGTCACACAGACCTCGCCCAACACTTGTGGTAAGTCTTCAGGTGACTTCCAAACCTTCATAGACTTGGTCACTCGGTGATCCACAATTCCTCTTGCATGCTCAGACCATGACGCCTAACCGTTTGAAGGATACATAGTCCTCAAAGATAACAAGCGTCGGTTCCACACAGAAACAATCTCTTCAGTGATGCTCAATCACTTTGGGTTTGTAGGTGTTTGGGTTTGAGTTTTGGGTTTTCCTCACTTGATGAATTTCGCTCAAAGTCCTCGGAGGGTGGGATGCTCTCAATGACAAGTGTCAGTTTCTCTCGAAGCAGCCAACCATCTAGTGGTTGTAGGGGGGGCGCTATTTATAGCCTAGGGAGCAGCCCGACATGATAAGACATAAATGCCCTTCAATGATATGATCGTTAGGTGGTAGATATTTTGGACAGCTGGCGCATAGCACAGCGACGGTCAAATATTTGAGGTTCAAATTCCTCAGGGCTATCATGTTCCTCACTGTGTAGGCAATCTGCACTGGCGAATTCCTAACTCCTCAGTCAGAACAAATTTCTCAGAGACCAGAAGATCTTTGTCTTGTCACTGAAGAAATTGACTGAACTGATATGAGATTTCCATCTTCACTCGAAAGGATTGGGTAGGAGGATTTTGAGATGAGCATCACTTGGAAATCAGTTTCCTTAGTATTACCTCGACCCCCTTTAAGAATACGGTGTTTCCTATGACTGTTTTCTTAGTATTACCTCGACCCCCTTTAAGAATACGGTGTTTCCTATGACTCAAGAAAGAGAAAAAGAAACTATAAAAACAAAAGTCTTCACACTTCATAATCCTCACATGAATATCCAAGTCTTCAAGGTCACACAAATTTCTTCACTTTCAAAATCTTCAGGAGAACCAAAG